TCCCGCCTATCCCTACGGCGACGACGGAAGTCGTGACTCCTACCCGCTATTGCCCTCGTTGGAGGCAGCGCTGCGTTGCCCTTCCCTCCCTCCCTCCCTGGTGAACGTGCTCTTGGGTCTATGCGAGTACATGGAGCTCCGTGAGAAGCCCTTGCCCATCGATATGCGCCTTCTGGGCCGGGAGGCCGGGCGGGCGCAGGCCTTTGCCAAGTGCTTGAAGTACAAAGAGCGGGAGTTTCACGCCGACCCTTCTCCGGACTGTGTAGAGGCCCTGATTGGTGTCTACAACCAGCTGGGCCTGCGGGAGGCGGCCAGTGGGGTGCTCCGAGGCCGGGGAGGAACGCGGGAGGACGGGGCGGAGGGGGGGGCGCTGCGACCGGGGTGGCTGGAAAAAATTGCCCAGTGGGAGAAAGCCTTGGTGCTGTACGAGACCTACGGTAAGGGATACAGGGAGGAAATGAAGGGTAACTATCATCACGACGGAATTCTTCGGACGCTCATCTCCCTCTTTCCCCTCCCACAGTGTCCAAAGTAGAAGCCGACTCCCAGGGGCAGGCGGAAGGGGAGAAGATTCAGGGGGGGGAAGGGGGAGAGGAGGAAAGCGTGGCGATGATGGCCGCTTCTGGGACAGCGAACGTCCCCCGGGAAGGTTCCGAATCCGCCGCCTGGCCCTCCCTCCATCCTTTCCCCAAGACGGTGCAGACGGATGTCAGCGGCGAGAGCACTCGGGATCGTAAGCCTTCTTCCGCAGGTACCGCCAGTACCCAGAGCCGCCTCCGCCGGCCCCGTTTCTCTGTGACGGCCTCGGAAAGCGGACGGCATTGGACGATAGGGGAGGAAGGACCCGGATGGCCACGGGGAAGGGAGGGAGGGAGGAAGCCCCGGGAGGCGGGGAGTGACCGGAGGGAAGGCAATGGAAAGGCTCCCAGGGTGGAGCGGGGAGGGGAAACAGGTGATCCGGGACAACAAGAAAGACCGGAACGTCCACGCGTGATGGGGAAGGAAGACGGGGGTCCGTTGGATCAGGGGGAGGGAGAGAGGCTGGTGGAGGATGGGG